CGTCATTTGGCAAAGAGGTTTAATATTGGGAACACGCAAGCAGCTGAAATTGCCAAAAATAAGGAAGATATCAGGAGTAAATGGCAATCAGGAACTAATATAAATCAAAAGAAGGATTTTTTAAAAAAGGAAGGTTTTGCTATAGACAAAACATGTTTTGAGTGGTTTGTGAAAGCTAGAAGTCAGAACATTCCAATCTCAGGGCCGTTAGTGAAAATGAAAGCTAAAGAAATCGCCACTACTTTGGGCTATAATAATTTCAGTGCGTCCGACGGGTGGCTGCAAAAGTGGCGCAAGAGACATAGTGTGAGTTTCAAATGCATATCTGGCGAAGCTGCTGCAGTAGATCAAGTTGATGTGTCACAATTTTTGGAGAAACTTCCATGTTGCTTGGCTACAAACCTGAAGATGTGTACAACGCAGATGAGAGTGGACTTTTTTTTCGCGCATTGCCCGACAAAACTCTGTCCTTTGAAGGAGAAACATGTGTGGGTGGAAAGTTGTCTAAAGATAGACTAACCATTTTATTCTGTGCTATTAAGGATCTACCAGCGACTTGGAAATCCAACAAAAAGGCATGGATGACCCGAGAAATCATGTCTGAGTGGTTAGTCGAATTCGACCGGAAAATGAGAATCCAAAAAAGGCAGGTTCTTTTATTTTTAGACAATGCATGCTCTCATCCTCGTGATATGAAAATGAAAAATGTGAAAATTATATTTTTACCGCCAAACACAACTTCTGTTTGTCAGCCCATGGATCAAGGTGTCATACAGAACTTTAAATTTTATTATCGGCACTTGATTTTAAAACATATTTTAACAAAAATTGACGATGGTCAACGCTTATCTGAGCTTACAAAGTCTATCAATGTGTTAGAAGCTTTGTATTTTATAAAAACAGCATTGAATAAAGTAAATTCCTCTACAATTAAAAACTGTTTTGGCAAAGCTGGATTCAGAAAAAGTGAATGTAGCTCAGAATTTGCTGAGCAAAATTATTGCGATGCTGAAGACGATCTGCCCTTAGCGACACTTGCTCAGTTACTGCGACATGCCAAACATTTAGGAGTAGCAGATCCCCAGAAAGTAGATGATTTCCTGGCCATAGACAATAACATAACAACAGAAGAAAATGCCATTGGCAACTTTTCGAATTTGGATGTAGAAAGCCCAGGCCAACTTGAATATGGTAGTCCAAACGACTCAGAAGAAGAAGTGGAACTGGTGGACTCACTAAGCGGTTCAAAAACGATAAATTCATATGGGGAAGCTCTAAATCATATTTCTATATTGAAAAAATTTGCTAAAGATGATTTCACTGCATTTCAACATTTGAAAAATTTAGAAAGTTATTACGAAAAATAGTCTCCTTCAGCAAAAGATGGTGAAATTTCGTCAGACAAACATTTTAAACTTTTTTCAACAAGCTAAAGAATAATGTTTTTTTTTAAATTCTCGTACCATGTATTGAAGCATTTATGTTTTTGTATGCGTATATGTACATATATTATATAGATATATAGCATACATACAATACTTTAAAAATGTGGCGAGTTTCTGTTTCATTTTTCTCATGATTATAATACCTCATTTCCTCATGATTATATACCCCGTTATTTATACTCTATACTTACTACTCTCTTTTAAACGGACACCTCCCATAAGCGGACAAAAGTTACGGAACCGTGAGTGTCCGCTTATGGGAGCTTTCACTGTATATCGACCGTTCTATCGACTCAAATGAAGATTTAATCGTTTTTTCAAATTTTTTGTGTTCTTTTTTTAAATCAAATCCTATACCTCTTAAAAAATCACCCGTTAATAATAATTTATTCAAGGTATTTATACAAATTTAGTGAATAGATTGAAAAACAAAAACCACAAAAGGATGGTGTCCTAGTACGTGGTTCGAATAAACTAACAGTCCTTAAAAACCAGGTGTACATACCTAAAATCTATTTAAAAGTAATGGGGAATACGTGGTCTCAACTTTTTTTATATATACAGGGTGCGGCAGAGAGGATGGACGGTTTTAAAAAAATCATAAAATAGTTAATTTTTACTTGAAAACAAATTTATTGATGGAATCAGGTTCACAAGGAAATAGCATTTGAGACAGTCAAGTGTGGAAAATCACATCAGGCATGTGGTGGCCGAAATCGTTGATGCAGTGCTGGAGGCGTTCTTGGAAGTTCGCGTAGACTCTTTCCAACATCGCTCTCTCAACTTGGGCGACTTCCACGCGAATTTCGCCTTTCCATTCGTCCAGAGTTCGGGGCTTGTTCGCGTATACTCTAGCCTTGAGGTGTCCCCATAATAAGAAATCGCATGTGGATAAATCTGGGGACCGAGGAGGCCAATGAATATCGCCAAACCTGGAAATAAGGCGACCAGGGAAGAGAAGGCGAATAACGTCCACGGATGCTCGGGCTGTGTGGGCGGTCGCCCCATCCTGCTGGAATCACACACCTCGGATTGGAACACGTCGCCGTCGTAATTCAGGGAGAAAGAAGTTGGTGATCATGTCGACGTAGCGCGCTCTGAGTTCACGGTAACATCACGACCATTACCGCCTTCGAAGAAGTAAGGGCCAATGATGCAAGTTTGCGATACAGCGCACCAAACTTACTTTTGCGCTGTGCAGCGGTCTTTCGTGTAACTGTTGCGGATTTTCATTAGCCCAATAACGACAATTCTGCTGGTTAACCATGCTGTTTAGGTGAAAGTGGGCTTCGTCACTCATAGGCGAAAACGTGGTGCTCCACCATCCAAGGCTCCATAACGACAACTGGTAAAATAATGCTAGGATCTCACGAGTCAAACGGCACCCTCCCCACCTCTCTCGTAGACGGAGGCGGAGAGTACTACCCATCCCAAAAACGTCCGTCCTCTCTGCCGCACCCTGTATTTTATATAATCTCAAACTTTTGATTTGGCCACCCTGTACAGTAGGAATCTTAATTTCTTAGTGATATATTCTACGTGTATCTTCCAGCAGAGTCTATTATCTAAAAAACTTTCAAGGTATTTTATATGTGATGTTTCGGTGAAATTGTAACTTTTTGATTTTTAATAGTCCTATAAATTGAGAGATCACAACTCTGGTAATGGTTGTTTGGAAGCTAGAATTTTTATTTTAATAGCTGGTTGCAGCCCTTGCTTTCATTGTTTATAATATACACTATTGGACAAGAGTATATAGACAAATATGAATATTTACCTAACTACCTTTAGAAAACGAATTCATACTTCATTGCTATATTTTTAGTGCAAGTCGGGGATGGAACACGCACGCATTTTCAAGCATATTGTGCTTAAATATTCATGGTTACCTCAATTTCATATGTTCTAAGGCCCGTATCGTCAGTCGTCCCTACAATAATTGTAGGGCGCCTTTATGGCCTCCTTGATTGTCATAGTTTTCTACTTCTCCGTGTCAGCGCTCTATTTTGAGGTTATGTCACAAACATCTATTTGCATCAAATTGTGCTTGCTTTTGAGTTACCTATATCATGTTTTATCAACCTGAAATTTCCTACAATTTAAAAAGAAAACATATCTTCACAATAGGAGAGCGCTGACGCTGACACGGGACAAGTATAATTTAGAAATTTTTGAAGGAGAGAAAGAAGTATGACAATCAAGGAGGCCATAAACGCGCCCTACAATAATTATTGTAGCGACGACTGACGATATGGGCCTAAATAAAGCATGAGATTGTACACTATTTGGTTCATTTGTTTCCACGACTTCTCGATTTCCTCAATATATTTACGCGGAACATTGAAATCCCAAATACCACAAACAACTAGTAGGAAAGAAGAAATAGTTTAACAAATGATTGCGATTTTAATACAAAACAAACGATGTCAGATCTTGTATAAAACTAATCACAGACAGAAGTCTTTTCTTTTTACTCATATCACTTCACAGTCCACATTTTCACCACTTCAATGTGATTATTCATCCACTTCAAAGGTTCAACAAACCAAAACAGTCTCCATGCCGACACAACTTTTCAATTAAATTATCAAGAAACTAATTATAGCAAAGTGGTTTAAACACGATTAAAGGTAAACGTAACATGCACCGGATTAAAACTAATCGTCTTTTCGTCTAATTGAATATTTCAAAATCAATAAAATTGCACTCACCAAACGAATGTATCACTAGAAAAAGCACCGTGTATAAAGTTCTCTTCATCGTTGCTCGATTTCAATTTCACGAAACGTTGATTCCATCAAAACAAACTGGGCTTTGTCTTATCACAGCCTACTATAGATGAATTTGACTGCGTTAGATGCACTGTTTAGTGACGGATATGTATGCAAAATAACATTGAGGAGTCGGTTTCTGTTTAGGCAAAAACAGTTTTTAGATCAAGAGTTCACCGAGTACCGGTTATAGAAAACACAATAAAAAATCAACAGTTCTCACATGTTGCCGTTGCACAAACCACACACTCGCGAGATCGCCAACGTTCAAGACCGATAGTTTAATTTAAAAACTGTTCATCAATGTTTATAAATACGCGAATTTGTCGAAATTAACCCTGAACTTCTCTACCACCCAAACATCTACGACGTCATGACAACACTAGCGAATGACAGACGCGAAAACGCGATCAACTGACAGAATCAACAGAAAAAATAAAATGGACAAAGGGATCGCAATGGCTACGCGCAGCGCAACGTATCTTGCAAGAATATGTATGACTGGTTGCCTGTGGTTGTGCTCAAGAAGAAAGTATATTCCATATACGTACATAGATAAATTTTTCACTCCAAAATTTTTTTGAATCATTATGCACAAAAAGGTTATGATAAACAATTTGAGTCTGAAAACACTCAAAAATGGCAACTTTTAATGCTTAAAAACTAGGTTTAAATGATTATCTTCGATGTTTCCAAATGCCAAATGTCTAGATTAAAAGACGATCCTTACATTGCCAGTGGCGTAACATTGGGTTCTTAGAGTACATAGGATTAATAACAAACATTTTGATATTATAAAAAAGTGTTTATTTGGATTGAATACAAGTGTTAAATAAGTTAGGATGTATTTTAGAGTTCTGAATCACCAAGGAGTATTAAAGTACTCGACAATATCGCTGATCTTGAGAATGAAAATTTTAAAAATTGTCCATACGACGTAAAAGGCTGCAGCATACCATAAAGAGTTGAATACTTGGGCTATTATCCACATCCTGAAAAAAAAAACATAAATTGGGACAAATTTTGAAAATATGCTGATATGGAAAAGCCAACGTTACAAGCTTTAATTCAACTTGACGTGTTTGTTAGAGTTGGAAGAATCTTGGAATTAAATTTTGAACCAGTTAGCCTTAACTGATTGAACTGAAATTTTGTATATAAGTTTTTCGTCATTTTGAATTAAATATGGCGGATCATTCTTCCAAACTGGCGATTTATCATTTTCATATGATATATGTCATGGGCATCAAATGAAAGGGTCTAATTAGTAACGTGAGGTCATTCTGAATAGAAAAAGGCCCAAGATGGCGTTTATAATTTCCCTAGTCACCCCTGTGAATTAGGCATCAAAAAAGATCTTGATGACATAAACATAATAAACAACGTGACGTCCATCTAAGTCCAATATGGCGTTTATAATTTTCCTAGTCGCCCCTATGAATTAGGCCATAAAATTGAAGGTCTTGATGAGAGAAAGATAATAAGGACGTGACGTCATTCTAAATTCAATATGGCGACCGGCCCAAGATGGCGTTTATATTTTCCCTAGACAGTCCTATGAATTAGGCATCAAATTAAAGGTCTTGATGAGAGACACATAATAAGCAAAGTGACGCCATTCTTAATTCTATACGGGAAAATATCGATTAAAAATTATATAATTTATGTCTATCGAAATGTTATAATACAAATAAAGTAAGAGGGTATAAGGAATCCAATAAAATATTTATGAAAATTATATAGAAATTACTAAACTGCTTACTAAAAATTAAAATAATAAATAAAAGTAAAAAATGCATTTTAAAAAAAAATTATTTAGATTAGAAATGAACTAAAAATTTGAGCAAATTTTCCGGATTGTAAATATTTGAACCATGATGAAGATCTGTCATGTCAAGCTTTCAGTTACGTTTTAGCAGCTAGATGGAAAAGATTGTAGCACGCTTTTTGAATATTTAAAATAATGGAGGATCATTATAATTTAAATATTTACAATCGGTAAAACTTTTCCTAAATTTTTAATTCATTTTATGAGCAGCTAAATAAAAACTTGATTTCAAAAATGTATTTATATCATTTATTATTGATTTATTTATAGCACGACAGGAATTTTCATTATAAAATATCCGCAACCGATTTTTGAGGTCAATTAGCAATACATTTCTACCTTCTAGAATGCACCACAGCCTTATCCATAGTGTCATCTGGTTCATGTAACAAATATCTTCTTCCACCCAGTAACCCGTTTTTGAAAAACTCGTATGGTTCTGCGAATTTCGAGTCTTTTTCATAGGAAAATGCCTTCAAGTCGTCTGGACGTAAATGGTTTTCCAACGCGAGCGTTTTGTTGTTCAAAAAGTCCCACTGATTGTTCAAAAAGTACGCCAAAGCACTGTTTGCGATGAAAATTCTTCTGTGGATCTTTACCAGCCTGCAAAAATATATACGAGTATTTAATGATTCGAATAGATCGGTAAAAAAGGACATAAAACATTTTAAAAGCGAGTTGTAGACAAACCATTCTAGACTCAAAAACGTTTTAAAAAAGTTTTATAAACCTTATATCAAAAATGAGTTCACCAATAAAACTATATAACTATGTCGCAATATACAGAGTGTTCCTTTGAAATTTTTGAGAAAAGTTACATTTTGCGTTTTGAACAGATTTTTATCTCTTTTCTACCTTGTATCTTTTCCAGTTTCCATTTTCCTTGGGTCACCCTGTATCTTCTTCAGTCTCGCCTACACCATTCTGTAACACCCTGTATAATAAGTACTTACATAGCTTTCTTTCCCAATAATAGCAGAAGTCCATCGATGAACAGTGCAGGTAACACTTGGTAGAATATCAGTTTGAGATAATTTTCGTACCAACATTTGGTTACAGATCCATTTGGATACCAGATGATGTCGTTTAGGGGCATTTCCCAGCAGAGTTTCTTGCCGAGATGCACCAGTTCGCCTACAGATACCTGTTGTACCCTGTAGCTACTTGCGTTGTATACCGAAATGCTGTATTTTTCGGCAGGATTCCTGAAAATATTTATCCCCTTTTTTGTCTATAATATATCCACCTAATTTGAGATTGCTACATTATTGCCCAAGAAGTACAGAGTCGATCTACTTGTCTATGCTAGAACTCTATTTGAAATTGTATTCCAGCAATGTTTGATCGATACTTTCATCCTTATGAGCATCAACAATTTCAGCATCGGCTAATTACGGTGTTTTTAAAATTTTTGACAATGTTGGTAAGTTATTCTCTAGATTATCTAGATAGTTGGAATGTCCAAATTTGTTCATGGACTCATTTGGTGCAATACGTAAACGTGATTGTTTTGTTTGTTTTTCTTCCTTATCTACTTGTAAGATGATTGTAGTGATTGTGAAAATAATGTAAAGCGTATGCGACACCCTGGAAAAAGCTAGCGCGTGGTACTTATCTGTTCCAGAAGGTCAAAGCACAAAAAAGTTCCTATGACATTAAATAAACTTTTCAGGAGCAGTGTCCTCAAAAATAGGCTAAATAGTCTCAGATCAAAAACCAATCAGCTATTATATAAATGCATTCATACATTTGTAAACTAATTTTAAAATATTTACATATTGTTATGTTAGCCCACAAACAAGGTTCCACCGTTTTGGGTTTCACCATTAATTTTTTAATTATTTTATTGCTACTTGAAACAAATAAACATTAGCAATATCATCTCACTCAATAGTTAAAACGCATATATATGTACTTTTAATTAAAACAATCTTACCTTTCCAAAGCTTTTTTCCACGTGGACATAATCATGCCTTTAACAACACTGTCACAAGGTACGTAATCGGCACGAATTTGTGGATCCGCGTAAACTGACCTCATAACACCCTTACCAGAGGCTACAAGGATACCTACAGGTCCATTAAAGTTGTCCATCCACCCCGGGAATGGATCAGTCATAGTGCAGATCACTGAAAGAATATCCTTTAAATGACTCATATTCAGACGAGTGAAAACCTCGCATTCGTCAGAAATTTGACGTAGGATTGTACAAGGGTCATTTTTTAAGTAAGAACCGTTTTATCATCGAGTCAGAGAAACTCTATTTGTGAATGTAACTTTACTTCCTGCGCTAATGGGCGAATGTAATAGCGAAAAATTGGATATGCTTTTTGTATGTTATACATTTATTTTAACTACTTGTCAATATTCGTGAGAAATTGTGAAAATTTTCAAAAATATTTCTTTTGAAAACTTCAAGAATTTTGGAGATTTTGAAAATTCTGAAGATTTTGAAAATTTTGAAAATTTTGGATATGCTTTTGGATGTTATACATTTATTTTAACTGCTTGTCAATATTCGTGAGAAACTGTGAAAATTTCCAAAATGTTGAAAATGTTGAACATTTTGAAAAATCGAAATTTTGAAAATTTTCAAAATTCTTCTTTTGAAAAGTTCAAGAATTTTGGAGATTTTGAACATTCTGAAGATTTTGAAAATTTTCAAAATTTTTAGAATATCCAAAATTTTGAAAATTTTGAAAACTCAGAACTGAAACTTTTTGAATTATTGAAAATTTGGAAAATTAGGAAAATTTTGAAAAATTCGAAAATTTTGAAAATCTTGAAAATTTCGGATATACTTTTGGGTGTTATACATTTATTTTAACTGCTTGTCAATATTCGTGAGAAATAGTGAAAATTTCGAATACGTTGATCATTTTGAAAAAGCGAAATTTTGGAAATTTTAAAAAATTCTTCTTTTGAAAAGTTCAAGAATTTTGGAGATTTTGAAAATTCTGAAGATTTTGAAAATTTTGCAAATTTTTAAAATCTTCAAAATTTTTAGAATATTAAAAATTTTGAAAATTTTGAAAACTTAGAACTGAAATTTTTTGATTATTGAAAATTTGGAAAATTAGGAAAATTTTGAAAATCTTGAAAATTTTGAAAATTTTGGATATACTTTTGGGTGTTATACATTTATTTTAACTGCTTGTCAATATTCGTGAAAAATTGTGAAAATTTCGAAAATGTTGAACATTTTGAAAAATTGAAATTATGGAAATTTTCAAAAATTCTTCTTTTGAAAAGTTCAAGAATTTTGGAGATTTTGAAAATTGTGAAGATTTTGAAAATCTCGAAATTTGAAGTTTTAATATTTCTAAAATTTTGAAAATTGAAAATTTTGCAAATTTTGAAAATTTAAAAAATTTTTAGAATATTCAAAATTTTGAAATTTTGAAAACTTAGAACTGAATTTTTTCTAAATATTGAAAATTTGGAAAATTAGGAAAATGTTGAAATTTTTTAAAATTTTTTTGAGGGTATAGCACAATTTTTTGTAAATGATGATTTAATTGTTCTTATATCTACGCATATCTTTTTCTGAACTTAAACGTGAGCGACTAAGCAAGAGTGTCTGAGGTTGAACGGACATCACGTGACACGATGCTCAATCGGTTCTTGCTTTAAAAATGGCCCTCGTAGCAGAGCATACCAATGGAAGGTCTAAATATAATGGCAGGTATTTTCCCTTCACATAAATCTTTCACTACATGTTCTCCCAAAGACTTCGTAAACGTATAGGTATTGGGAAAAGGCTCCATGAATTTAGGTGTCAGGATGTCCATTATCCTAGGATCAGCATTTTCTGCTAGGTCTATTGCACGCTTCCAGTCGTCGTGAGGTGGGTATACTTTTTCGTCGATTACCTTGAAGCAAATTGATAAAACCAATATAATAGTTAATTATGTAGCGAGGACGGAAAGTAGACTTTTATACATGGGTGTTCGTAGGCATTTTTTTCAACGGTGGCCGATTAAGCATCTCCAAGAGAATACCCTTCATACTTGCAAGACCGCATTCCTGAACCAAATTTATGTAGAAAAGCTCATATAAACAAGTATCCTAACTAGGAGTAGCAAACTTTACCAGTGCCGTGAGCAATTTTGATATTGTACACAAAACCATGCTAAATATACAAATTTTAAGCGACAATCGGATACTTAGGGGGTCACGATCCCCTGGCCTCCCCTTGTGGGCACCTATGGGTACATACAAAACCACAGATTAGTACCAGAGACGACAACAATCAGGTTCTATCAACGCCAACTTGATAGGATTTCTGGTGCTGTCAACTGTAACTGTGAGATTTAGGGATATTTCTACTGTTGTTGGTGGTTATTTTCAATATAAAAAGCTGTTCAAGATATAAATAAATTTCTTGATTCTGAAGTTTTACGTATGACATTCGTGACGTCTGACTAATGAACCCATGGGATCAAGTAGGGAACGCACCAAACGCTTTCAATAATAACACTGGACAACAAATTTTAGTTTTTTAATTGTATATTGTGGGAAAAGTGCACTTCTTTGTTAATTTTGGGGCGATGAATCCAAACATGACAATGAAATAAAAAAATTAGTTGCGGTTTAGAAAAAAAACTTTTTATTGTTAATGATATATTAAAAAAAGTAACAAGATTCATATACTTATAAGAATCACTATATGCGCTGTCTTTTTGCTGTTCTTTTATGGATCGTTTCTGGAGCATCTCTACCAAGAGTCCAACCGTAGTCTGCAAGCATGGAAGGATTACACTTTCCCTGGTACCTTTTTTCCATTGTTGAAATATCCTGATGAAAACGTTCGCAGTGCTCATCACTTACGTCTCCTCAGTTGTCAGGAAAAAAGTCCAGGTGTGAGTGTAGGAAATGTATCTTAAGAGACATCTTACAGCCCATCTTTTGATACGATGACAGCATATTTTTGACAAGGGTTTTATAGTTGTCAGCTTTTCTATTTCCCAAGAAATTAGTGACCACCAGACGGAAATCATTCCAAGCAGTTTTTTCTTTAACCTTTGCCTCACTTAGTCTTGGAAATTTCTGACGCAGGTATTGAAAAGCTGACCCATCTCTATCTAATGCCTTGACAAAGTTTTTCATTAGGCGCAACTTGATATGCAGTGGTGGTAATAAAATTTTTTTCGAATCTACTAATGGCATATGCTGTACATTTTTTTGACCTGGCTCTAGGAATTGACGAACAGGCCAGTTTTGTCTGGTGTAATGAAGTGCCTTTGCCCGACTGTCCCATTCACACAAAAAACAGCAAAACTTTGTGTAGCCTAGCTGCAGCCCAAGTAAAAGTGCAACAACTTTCAAATCGCCTCAAATATGCCATTGGTGCTCATCGTATTTTATGCATGTCAATAGGTACTTCATATTGTCATATGATTCTTTCATGTGAACTGCATACCCTACAGGAAGAGATGGTAAAATATTTCCAATATGCAATAACACTGCCTTTAAACTCAATGTTGAACTGTCTATAAACAATCTCCATTCTTCTGGGTTATAGTTTATATTTAAAGCCGCCAGTAAGCCGTTAATGTTACTGCAGAAAACCAAGTTATTCTCCATATTGAAAAATGGTTCTAAGTCTTTGTGGCGTTTACGAAAAACACATATCGAAACATCGACTTCTAACAAGTTCCACTGCTGCAGTCTTGATCCAAGTAACTCTGCCTTACATTTTGGAAGTTCTAAATCTCTTACAAGATCATTTAATTCTGACTGTGTTATTTTGTGCGGTTGGTGGCATGACGTGCTCGGTATAAAATCAGGATCTCTTGACGTTGATGGCATATCTTCTTCCTGACGAATCACTCGATCGCCATGATCTGATTCGTTTTCTGATTCGCAAGTGTAGGATTCTGGGGGTTTTGGAATAGGATTTTAGTCACTGTGAGGCACAGGTCTCATCGCAGATGGTATGTTTGGGTAGTTAATAACCGATTTTTTTTCTTGGACATACCTGTGGCTTGTCCAACACAAGGTACCATGCAAAAGTAACAATCATTAATATGATTTGTAGGCTCTCTCCAAACCATTGGGACAGCAAAGCGCATAGACCGTTTTTTTGCCATTTAACCAGCTCCTCAGACTTGAAGCACATGTATTACAGCAGATGTGGGGTGCCCACTGTTTGTCTTGATCACCTAGTTTACAACCGAAGTAAAGCTGATATGCCTTTGTTATTAGTGGAGTAATAGACCGTCTCTGAGATGCAAAAGTCACATCACCACACACGTAACAAAACTGATCTGGATTGTTTACACACTTTCGAGACATCTTGCATGAACGCTGTCAGCCAACTGAGGAAAAAATGGCTAATATAAAACAATATAATGTACACGTATGTATAACGTAAAACAATCATGCCGATTATATCATCTTTCCTTGCCGAATATAAAAATGTAGCACGTGCATTCTTGTGAATTACAGTATATTAACACTGTCACAGCAGGAACACATATAATTACCGTATCTCTAAAACTTGAACTAATATTGAAAAAATAAGTTTCATTCCGCTTTTAGCACATTAAAAATAGTAATATTTTGTTGATTTTATTTAGGATATTTTTTGGCTGTTGATCAGTGTAATCTGTGACAAAACTATAAACAAAACCTTTAATTCGATCGTTATTTTATTACCTTTCTGTCGATGTTGCAGTACGTCGTCGATAAATGCATGAATACTTCAAGTTGTTTTATTTCTTTAACAAGACGCAACACTTCCCTGGTACCTCTCGTATTCATCAAAATAGCATACTTCAGGGGGTCATCGAATCTTATCGACGCTGCTATGTGATATACTATGTGGACTTCGTTTACCAACTTTTTTCTGTCGTCAGAGCTTATTCCTGAAAGAAAATTATGATTCGATGGGAGTAGCTAAACGATCCGGGAAACAGTACCTAAATTGATCTGTGTTACGTCTCCAATTATGGGCAAAATTTTCCTGAGATTGTCTGGATAGGTTTTCTTGAGAACGTCAAAAAGCTGAAAGGAATAAGTAGTGTTAACAAAATGGAAGTTTTAAGTTTTGAAAATTATGAAATCTTTTTTTTATTTCAACGGGGTTCTAGCTTGTGCTAAATATAATCCTTTATAACTGATGACGAGGTTTCCTGGGAAGTACATAGTTAACCTACTTGACGCCATTCTTTACTAAATATGAGAAATCCATAAACGTAGGATGAAAAAAATAAAAATCAATCAATCCATATAAAAAAATTCGACTCGTTATCGATGTTTTAAAATTCGGAAATTTAACAATTATTTTTTGGCAGACTTCTTTCTCGAATTGTTATAATGAGAAAACTCGTTCTTAGCACGTTTTTTAGCTTGTAATTATCCGGAAATATACGAGAACATGATTATTAAAAAATTCGAAAGCGTAGAAAATGTAAATAAAATTGTTTTTAAAGATTTGCCCTGAACATTATACTTTATAATGAAAGTCCCGAAATATTTACAAATATGCCGTACGTCGATTTGTATATAAGCGTTCTTGAAATATGTATAAATGAAAACTCGAATTATAAACCGCCCCAAAAGCTAAAACTCGACCCATCCAGTAAATTAACTCAGTAATTCCTACATGTTGATGATTCATAATTTGTAAGCCTAAGCATTTTTATGGTTACGACAAATGTATTTCTATAAATTGACCCCCTCTAACTTGAAAGGTATAATATGAAGTTTTACGTACAATATATTTTTTATCCCAGATAAGTGTTATGAAATAAAGCTGTATTTTTTCAAATAGAACACCCTGTATAATGTTAGTGAAAATGATGATGTGTGTACATAAAAATATCGACCTCCTTAATGCACATCCCATGTTAATGCTTCTAATGTATTTTTAACAGAGTGAACAAATTGAAAATAAAAATGGTCTGTAACTCAAATTTTGGTTTGAAGTATTCACTTCCTACTTTGCCCCTTATCATTTTTTAATATCATATTTGATATCCTTATAAGAGATACATGATCATTTTGGGAGTCGAAAATTGTTGGAAAACTTTCGAAATCGAAAATTTTGAGAATATTCCGGAATAATGAAAATTTAGAAAATTTTGGAAACCGAGAATATTGAAAATTTAATTTTTTGAAGAGTTTGAAAGTTTTGGAAATTTTGAAAATCCTGGAAGTTTTAAAAATTGAGGATCCTGAAAAATTTGGGAACCTTGAAAATTTTGAGAATCTTGAACATTTTAAACACCTTGAATATCCTGGAAATCGGAAAATTAAAAAATTTTGTAAAATTTTGGAAATTTTGAAAATCTTGGAAATTTTAAAAATTTTGATAATCTTCCAATTTCCAGGATATTCAAGATCATGTCAGATTTGGAGACCTTGAATATTTTGAGAATCTTGAAAATCCTAAATACTTTGATTAGCCTGGAAATTGGAAAATTTTGAAAGTTTTGAAAATTTTGAAAATTTTGAAAATTTTGAAAATTTTGAAAATTTTGAAAATTTTGTAAATTTTGAAAATTTTGAAAATTTTCAAATTTCCAGCATATTCAAGATCAAGTCAAATTTGGAAACCTTGAAAATTTTGAAAATCTTAAATACCTTGAATATCCTGGAAATTGGAAAATTTTGAAAATTTTGAAAATTTTGAAAATTTTGAAAATTTTGAAAATTTTGAAAATTTTGAAAATTTTGAAAATTTTGAAAATTTTGAAAACGTATCTAATAAGCCGAAATGTTCAGTTCAGCCCTCAGGGTTCGACTATATAAACGTGAAACCTAATTCTAATATCCCTCCCTATGTCACTGTATCCCTACTTACGGCCACGTCAGTCATTTCCTGGATCCTCTTGACTGGATCCTTCCCCTTTTTCTCCCTGATAAGCACGTAAATATTCCCGACCTCTGGACATGATCTCAACAACTTCTCGATCAGCACTTTCCCTATAAAACCCGTCGCTCCCGTTACGAACACATTCTTCCCCTTGAAATACTCTGGGATGCTAGGCAGACTTGATTCGTTCATCTTTAAACTCAAACAAATGACTGCCAACACGCGTTTGAACTAACTTGATAAGTATTCGGCATTGAATGTAAAATTTGACATGAATATGGATATCGGGTGTGACGTCTGACCTTTGGTACCGTTTCCAGTTTATTGACATCTTTTTGGGTAATGTGTGTGCTACTTTGTTTGGAATTTTGATGACGAATTGCAAAAGCTTAACAGAGAATGCCTGGTAACCAGGCCATATTGGCCCTTCTTGCCCAACACTGCCACGTGCTCATTTTTGCTCATTGTTTATAACGCTGCTCATATTTACCTGTTTCAAATACTCCCTAGACCCTCAGGTGTTCCATCATCGTGGTCTCCTGTTGTAATAAATACCAACGTGATAATTAGGATCCTTTGACATTTTGAATTTTTTGTGTCAGTCCAAGAGATCACCTTGTATTGCTCATAATCTCGTCTTGGCGATAAGAAGTGCAGACACATAAAGTCACTCAATCATGACAAGAACATTATACAGTTGAAAGTTGGAAATATTTTTATTCGTTTACAATCAAACTATGGGCAGTTGTGAGGCTGATGGAGCTGAAGAAGAAAAGACTGCAGTTGCAGAGCCAACTCCTGAACCTGAATCAGAACCACCAGGTAATGACTAACACTTTTTGTGCTGATTAGAAGCTGATATTTGAGTATTCAATAAAAGAGATGAGTAAAAGGAGGATTGAACGAGAGGAACTGAAACTGTACACAACTTAGGTGTTCTTGCTATCTACGTTATTATTTAGCACAATATGAAGTTGTTCAAGCACTATCCGCCCAAGAAGCTGAGACTGCTCAAGAAAAGCCTGGAGAAGCACCAACAGCAGCAGCTGAAGAAGGACAGGAGCAACCTGTAGGCGGTAAAAGGAAGAAGGATAAAAAGGGGAAGAAAGAGAAAGAAGTTGAAGAGGGAGATGAAGGAGGAGAGAAAAAGCCTGAGAAGGGTAAAAAGCGAAAGGATAAGAAAGTCAAGAAGGAGACAGATCCTGCAGTAGAAACAGAAGCTGCAGGTAGAGACGAAGCTGTGACAGCGGAAGGCGAAGTAGGTAAGACATGGCGTAAAGTAGATTGACTCAATCACACGTATTGGTACAAATCCATTTTTTACTTCCCGCGCCACTAGCGAGGAAGTATACAAATGGGTACGTCCTTGTTGCTAGTTGCAAAAATGTGCAACAAGATTTGAATGTTTTATTTTACCAAGATGAAGAAGTGACCGCACCGAAAGGGAAGAAAGTAAAAGGAGCAAAGAAAGGAAAAAAGACTAGAGAAAAACACGAACAAGAAGAAATGGGTGCTGCGCCTGAACAACCAACCGCAGAACCGGATGGAGGGGAAACGATAGAAGTGGTGGGAAAAGCGAAACCAAGGAAGGGGAAGGGAAAAGGAAAGAAAGGAAAAAAATCGGATGAATCGGAAGAAGGTATGGAAGGGGGAGAGGAGGAACGCAAAGGGAAGAAACAAGCGAGGAAGGAAAAAGGTAAAAGTCGGAGAGATACGTCCTTAGTGCAAAGAGAAGCTACAGAATCTACTTCAGCGTTAGCTGAACATAAGAAAAAAGTATACACTATTTCCGGTACAACCACCACTTTGAATATATTCCAGATAATTTTGCTCCCACATCCAAAGCTTCTTTACATCGACGTTTTGTGTAACCCATCATTGCAGTTCTACGTGGGACACCCTGTATACATCCATTTTGAATTGCTCTCATATTCCAGCAAAATCAGAGAAAAGCTTATCCAGGCTAGCGAAGGCTAAAAGTCAGAAAAGCGTAATGTCAGTAAGTCAAGAAAAAGATGCCGAGCCACATGTTGCCCACTCTGTGAAGTTCAGGAAAAGTCTAAAAAGTAAAACGCGCACGGTATGTTGATTACTTATTTACAAGAACAGTAAGAAAATATCCAGGGTGGACCAAAAGTTTTGGAATGGAAAATCCTTTTTATTTTTGTGTTTTGATATTCCCCTTATGATTTTACTTTTATCTTTCCTTACGATTGCTGAAGAATGATTCTATCCAAGAAAGTGCTGAACCTCTAATGTCATATCTTTCAAATTTTTGCAATAATATACAGGGTGTTTTCAAAGTTGAGTCATTTATTTTAACAGCTTGGAGGACTCGTTAAAAGGAGTTGATATACCAAAAATCACCTATAGTCAACGCCAAACAAAGTGGCGTGCACGTCATCACGATAAAAATTCCCCGACCTAATGCCTAGGTTTCTATCACAAACAATTGCTCTATTGCATTTTCATATTAATGTGATATATAAATTGTAAAATGGTCATTACTCTCTTATTATGGTTAATAGTCATATAAACATTGTTATTAAAATAGCACATAAGTTGCTTTCTGATAAATTTAGACGCATTATGCGAAATAAAATGTTTTGCAAACGCTCCAATCACTTATCGACATGTAAACGCACTAAACCGATTTCGCAGCGTTGACACATTGTCACCTTGAAACTTATTTAAACTGGGAACTGACATTTGTATTAATTTTGACACTGAATCAATTTGTGGCATTTCAAATCTTTATAAATCCTTTGGCCCCGCATACTGTAAATCAACAACTGTTTGTTTCAAAACAAAATTATTCATTTTACGAGTAGATAAAGGCAATTTTGGTATATAAAGATGCCCAAACAGTTAAATAGCAAGAAAGGGACAACAACGGGCCTTTGTTGCCTTTAAATGTTGTTCAAGAGGTAGGTTACTAATAATTATATGTAATGTATATTAATAATAGTGAAATTTTATTTCATTTTTTGTAGCGTGTTGCTGCTGCTTTAAAAATTAGTTTAAGGACAGTTAGTCGTATTTCCGAGGGTGTGAAAAGTGATGCAAATTTAGAATCGCCCAAGAAAAAGCGGAGTTATATTAAACGTGTAACCAACACAGCGACATTGGATACAAGTGCCATTCGAGAAGTGATCTATAATATGTATCACAAAAGTAAGATCTTATTATAATAACTTATCAGAAATTTTCATTAATTTGTTAACTAAATTATAATGTCATATTACACATGGTTTCAGAAGAACAAGTTACGATACAAACTTTATGGTCTCGATTAAGAGATAGGGCATTATTTGATGGTAGTGCCACGTCTTTAAGGCGGTTGCTTAGAGATCTTGGATTTAAGTGGCTTAAGGACAATCCGCGACGAGGGCTCATGGAACTACCAAGTATAGCTTTGAAAAGGGTGGAATTTCTAAGGCAATACAATCAAGCCAAGGTTGAGGCCTTATACCAGTTTGTCTTCCTCGATGAAACTTGGATATTTCAAAATGGGACCATAGGTCGCTCTTGGCAAAATGGAAACCAAAAAAGCGTGAAAGCTATTAAAACAGATGGTAAAAGGTATGTACTTTTACACAATTTGCACTATAAAATTTAAAACTAATATATTTTAGATACATTATATTACATGCTGGAAATGAAAATGGGTTTATTGAGGGTAGTGAAGCGATATTTTCTTCGAAAACAAAATTGAGCGATTACCATGGAGAGATGAACCAGGACAATTTTTTGAAATGGTTTCAACATCAGTTATTAAAAAAATTGGAGAGTCCATCTATGATTATACTGGATAACGCCCCTTATCACAGCATGATATTGAACAAAGTGCCCAACAATGCATGGACAAAAAAAAATATCCAAGACTGGTTGACAAATCAAAACATACCATTTTTAAACACAATGTTTAAAACAGAGCTATTGAGTATTGTTGCTCGGTACATAATGCTTCTTAATTATATATATTTTGGTCGACAGTTTATATTTCTTTTGTTTATTCCTATTCTTAAAATAACTGCTTTTTTAGAAACAAACCACCTAAAATATACGTGATTGATGAATTGGCGGAACAACATGGGCACAAAGTTCTTCGTCTGCCTCCTTACCATTGTATATTTAACCCTATTGAGTTAATTTGGGGCATAGCAAAAGGTTACTATAACAGACATATTGGTAGAGATGGTAACAGTGAAAAAGACTGTTTGGATATGTGGAACGAGGCTCTACAAACGGTTACCCCAGACATGTGGAAAAATAGTGTTCGACATACTGAGCAAGAAATTTTTAAATGGTATGAAAGAGAACGAATTTTTGATCGACCAGACATCGAACCTTTAATAATCAACTTTGAGAGTGATGAAGATTCAGATTCAGACAGCGCTGAAGAAAGAAACTCCGACTAACTTTATTGTACAGAAAAAGCTTACACCAGTAGCTTACCTAATTTTAGAATGCATTTTTCTGTATGAATTCTGTAAAATAAATACCATGCATACAATTTGGAGGACCCCATTTGGATTTTTATTCAGTACCTTTAAGCTATCAATTAAATATGGTAGTTTCATAGTGTCATCTGATCAATAATTGTCATACTTAAGATTATGCAAGTACAGATCTATAATTTTATTATACTATTATTTTTGTTCTCATTTGAGGTTAATATTGCTTATAAACCTAGATATGTAAATAATAAATGTTATTATTTTACAAAAAGTTTGGCAACAATGTAAATTTTTCAACACACCCACCTTGATGACGTGCACGCCACTTTGTTTGGCGTTGACTATATATTAAAACACTGCATAATGAAAGAAATAGTAAATGATTATAAATTAAAAAAAAATAAGAATGATATACAGATTTTTTTGATATTCTTGACCACGGCCGTGTAACATCTTGGGTTTTTGTTTAATATTCTTATCGTTTATCTAAATTCGGCAAACATTTTGTGTTATTGTTTTCAGTACGAGTCCTTGGGCTTTAATAAGGCCAAGAAATATACCCAACACACTCCTTATAGTTGCCCAAGTCTACTATACAGGGTGGCGCATCGAAAACGAAACAGACGCATTTACTGGCAGCTCCCTCGAAAACAAAATCGACTGGTCTCAGCGTTTAAAAAAAAACTGAGCTGCCAGTAAATGCGTCTGTTTCGTTTTCGATGCGCTACCCTGTATAATATTCCGAATAAACTTATAAGCAGCTATAAGAGTTGACCTTCAATATAACCATGTTGAGTTTCATTTATCATATTACAGTTACAAAATTCAATATTCTGTTATTAATTACCGTCTAAAATATTTTCGAAAATACTGACAACAAGCTTCTGGCTCTGGAACCATCAGAAGATGACGAATCGAATTCTTAAAGCTGAAATGACAAGTGGTGTTTTAATTGATCATCATATTCCAATGAATTATTTATGATGATCACCAATGGATCTACAATGTACTCAAAGCATTTGTTATGATTATGCTGGATATCTCATCATCACTACCAGACTTTTTATTTTCTAATCATTTGACAATTAAAATTATTCCATTTTCGGTCACAGTCCTGACAAACATTAAAAATGAAGTTCGTTTAAGGATGCATTTATAAGCAATACTGTCGTTGCGAGTTAAGTTCTTGATTGATAGCACCAAAAATTTGTCTAATTTATCTGCTAGGAGACCCAAATCAAGCTCCATTGCTTTGCTATTCCTAAGAGCATTATATATGTGCAATAAAAATCACAAATCTCATTGTCTCCACTTTTTAAATAGACATCTGAAGTTAACTTCGATGACGAGTTTTCTTCCTCAAGCGACAGCTACGACGAGGCAGAAGAGACAGAAACCAAAAAGGCGAAGAGTGGTAAAGAAAAGAAGGGTAAGAGGAAAGGAAAAGAAAAAGAGCATAAGAGAGATGATCATCACGCTTTAGAAGAAGGCGAAGTTAAGCCTGTCGAAATTGCGGAAAAGGTATTGGAAATCTAAATCAAAGTTTAGCTAGTTGCCGAGGACTCATCGCCAACGATGCAAAAGCTTTGTAGCTTTTGAAAATCGGTCCAGTGGTGCTAGGGACAAAATTACGACAATTTGGAGAAAAGAAAATATTAACTTTCCATCGGAATAAAACTTTTGTCTTATACCTAAAGAAAGAAAAAGGGAAGAAAGGAACAGGCAAGAAAGGAAAAAAGGCCAAAGATGAAGCACCACCTCCTGAAGAAAAAACACCAAAAGAGGTTGACATCATGGCGGAGCTACAACAGATGAAGATGCTTGCTGAAGGAGAAGGTTTTATGTAAAAAAATATATGATTCATATTCTAAACATTTTTTTCAATTTATTAGAGGTGCCAGAGGTTATAGCAGTAGAGACAAAGCCCAAGAAAAAAGAGAAGGTAAAATTGGAACTTGTATTTTTAATAGCATATTCTTCTTCTCATCTTATAAAATTGATATACGTGACATAAAATGCAATACCCAGAATTATTTATTGAATTTTGATAAAACTTGTAAAAGTATGCTCAACATTACAGCACTTCTGGTCGGTGTTGCATTTTCTATGTCATATATGTATGTATATACAGGGTGGCGCATCGAAAACGAAACAGACGCATTTACTGGCAGCTCAGTTTTTTTTTGAAAAACGCTCAGACCCGTCGATTTTGTTTTCGAGGGGGATACAAGTTTGGCAAAAAATCACGTTAACACGTGCAGCCCCCTGGGCGGGGCTGACACCAATCCTAAAATCTTAAATGGAAAGGGGGGTCGAGTGATACGTTATTTTAAAGGTCTTCCAATTCCCTTTATAATGTAAAATACATGAGCTACAGTTCAGTAGTTTTGAAGATTTATTGATTTAAAGCTTAAAGTAGACTTTAATAGGCACATCAGATTAGTTTGTACTACTTTCAGAAGAAATTTAATAAGTAAATGCTTTTCTTCACTACGCCCATGGTTTGTCTATCATTTTGTTGTTGAAAATAGCGTTTTTTGTGGCAAAAAAGTTATTTCTTGAAGAAAGATAAGGAAATATCTCGTACTTATTTTAAATAGGAATTTAGTACATAGTTTGCGATTGATTTGACCAAACTTTGTTGCTAAAATAACTTGTAACGCTTTATTACATAAATTAACCATGGTATATATTCCACAGCAGAAAGAGTTGAAATTATCGAAATATTTTTCGGAAATAATCAGTGCGCTAATAGAGCAGCAGAAATATTTAATGAGCGACATGAGAACAGTAACGTGCATGGAAAATATGTTCTAGAACTTGTAGCTAAATTTCGGGAGACTGGGTCAGTCGCCAATAAAAAACGCAACATTGAAAATCCCATAAGGAACGAAGCAATAGAAGTGGGGGTTTTAGGCCACGTGTATGTAGATCCTACGTTAAGTACCCGCAAATTGGAGACTGTGCGTGTGGTGTTAGCCGACGTACTGTCCAACGGATTCTAAAGGACCATAGTTTTCATCCGTATAAAATTCACCAGGTACAAGAACTTAATGAAGACGATTTTGATCGGCGATTACAATTTTGTGAAGATATGAGTGAACGAATTATAAACGATGAACATTTTCTATTCAACACTTGCTTTTCCGACGAATGTTCCTTTCTCTTAAATGGCGTAGTAAATCGTCATAACTGCCGATATTGGTCCGATTCTAATCCCAGAATTTATCATGAGGTTCATACACAGCAGCCACAAAAATTAAATGTTTGGGCTGGTATTTTTGACGATCATTTAGTTGGTCCTTTTTTCTTACCTGGAAATTTGACCGGTGAAATGTATTTGGAATTACTGGAAGACGCCATAGATCCTGCATTAACAGCCATAATTGAAAATCAGAATGATCGGTGGTACATTGCGAAAAGGTTGATGTTCCAACAGGATGGTGCCCCACCACATTACGCATTACGTGTTCCACAATATTTAGATCAGACGTTTCCAGATCGATGGATTGGTAGAAGAGGTGCCATTGAATGGCCCTTCAAAACTACTGAGCTGAAGTACATTAATTTTGTATCATTATAAAGGGAATTGAAAGACCTTTAAAATAAGGTATTACTCGACCCTCCTTTCCATTTAAGATTTCGGGGTGATGTCACCCCCGCCCAGGGGGCTGCACGTGTTAACGAGATTTTTTGCCAAACTAGTGTCCCCCTCGAAAACAAAATCGACGGGTCTGAGCGTTTTTCTAAAAAAACTGAGCTGCCTGTAAATGCGTCTGTTTCGTTTTTGATGCGCCACCCTGTATATATAAGATATAGAATAAAACTAGTATCATCAAGTGAGTGCATCAACAAAATTGGTAATATTTTGGCTGGAGCTGTTTTTTGTTAGTTTAAGATCGTATTTGTTGAACATTGTTTCTCTGAGCAGGCCAAGAAGAAAAAGCCGAGAGTGAAAGTAACGGCCGAAATGCTGGAGAAGATGAGAATTGAACAAGAGGCAGAAACAGCCCGACTAGCTTTATTGGAGAGGCAAAGATTGGAAGAGGAGAGATTATCTGCCATAGAAAAGGACAAAAGAGAAGTAAGACGTTTTGGTCGCGAAGAAGGTTGTAGTTTTTTATACTTTTTATCTCCTTGACAATTTCCAAAATTCTTAAGCGCTATACTGTTTTATGTTTCTGGGTCAAACTACTTGTCTCCATCTTTTCAGGTCGTTGAACAGCAAATACGTTTGGAGCAACTGAACAAATCAGCATGCAACGTAGCTAAAATCATCGATCACAACATGTCGCTAGCTGAACAAGAAAAAGAATTGATGGAGGTACCCAATTTTATAGCTACGACGGCATCACAATACTAAATCCAATGTTTCAGTGGGAACTTTATATAGCTTGCGGAAGGCTACCAAACCCTTCTTTGTGTGACCAAATGAATACGTACTTGCACAGATGGCAACTCACCATCAATACAACCACGGTTGATGATGCTTCTCAAAGAACGTCCGATGTTGTCGCCGTAAGTATTCGGCAGATAGAAGCTTATACAGGGAAAACCAAATTTCGCTGACGACTTGGGTTCAATGTGTACGAGAGAGAAACGCGAGACACATGTTAGAAAGAGATACAAGCCGGCTGCTAGACAATGCGCTATCTCTTCCAGACATACATACTTCTCTCTCGTACACATTCAACTCGAGCCGTCAGACAAACTTGGTTCTCAATGTAGAATGATTTTTGCAGTTACTAGATTCGTTACAAGATCTCTTAGATACCGCTGAACGTGAGAACTCGGTAACGATCGAAAATTACAAATGGGTAAGAAAATATTATGATTATTCCGACATAAAAAATAATGCCAGGATCACGCTTTCTGCTGATCGACATTTTACATTACCGCCAGCATTATCTTTCTATAACGGCATATACAGTGTGATTAATGATACAGTAGCAATTTTTCTAGGGTAGAACGCAGAAAATACATTCAAAAGTAACATAAAACACTCAAATATAAGTTTTAAGATGTCGCCTTGTCTTTATACAGAAAATTGTTATAATAACAAGACCGAAAAAAATGTATATCTTCGAAGTGTATACGTTTTTAGTAACTTTTATATAATGTACTATTTGCTCGACAAACATTGCTATTGTTTTGAATCGCCATGTGTACAGTGTAACAAACTTAAGTTATGGTTCGAAATAAAGAAATCACCCTGTATAATACGAGACTGTTTTGTAGATAAGGCAACTATTCAGAGATCAACAGCAAGACAGTCTAGATGTAGCCACATACAGATTACTAAGAAATGTTGAGAAAAATTTACACAGGATAGACATACCTACCGCTGATTATGATTTCGCCGATGAAAACATCAAATTCAGCATCTGGTTGAGAGTAATACTGCCTATTCCTCTTCCTAATCCGAGAAGACCGCCAAAGTAAGAAAATTGGTGTAGGAGTGTGCCATTTTTGTTTTGTTTTAGAAACGATGTGCAAAGGTTTTGTATATTAACGCCCGGGGATATTTTGAAATTCTTTAGATTTCTCTACTAGATATCTAAAATTGGCATCAACGAGGTTTCTTAAAAAAACGATCTGCATGCACTCGCGAAGCCTCGGTAGCATTTCGAAATTATATTAATATGGAAAACTCCGATATTGGTCTATGAGTGTTTTTGTTTTTTTTTTTTAGAACCGATGTGTAAAGGTTTTGTTTACCAACGCGACCAGCGCCCGGAGAAATTTTGAAATTCTTGAATGGATTTTGTGACATGAAAGACAAGGGGATTAAGGGCTGCCACAATTTTATACATGTTTACAATTTCTAGACTCACGCGAAATCATAAATATTTTACGTTCCATCATTATAGCTATCAGTTTATTTATGCATGATTTTTTTAGGGCCAGATTAGACATTAATTTTGAGAATGTCAACTTGCAATCGCTATTCCCCTTATTAATTGAGTGTGATGGAATGGCTATACGAGCAATGTACTTGAAATATGATCATCTTAGCGATCTGTGTTCATCATTTGACACCCCAGCAGTTCCAGAAGAATTCATTAAAAGTATGTGATAGATAAATACGCTTTATTGTCTGGAAAATACAATCAGTCTTAATGTCAAAGCTAACCTAGAACTAAACTACAACATAATTATACGGGGTGTTCCTTAATGGTATGCGAATATTTAACGGTGTGAAATTATATGAAGAATTAATTAATATTTTCAAAACCGCTTCAGATATTTCACTGATATTTATTATGTAGTGAAAGTTAATAAAGTTGCATATTTTTCAATGCCAAAATAATTTTTTGCTTCAACAGTGGCGTGCCTACGGGTATTGACTTCGACATTTTTTAAGACAAAAATGGTACGCCAATGATTTTTGCCAAATAAAAATTATTTTTGAATTCCCCGTTCAATTTCAAACAAATGATCTGTCTTGAATTGTTTTTCTTCGATGCGCCATTTTTGAGTAAAAAAATAAAAACCGTTCTATTGTCTAACTTGCAAAATTATTATTAATTTAATCGGAAAAATTAGACACAACCACGGACAAAAGGTCACACGCATTGGAAAATCAATGGAAAGTAATGCCTGTACTCTTAAATATAACTTTCATCAAATCATTATTCCAGTCGTTGGAAACTATCGGCAAATCCCAAGGTGGCTATATTGGGACTTCATTTATTTCTTTACAGGTCTACTAGATGTGACAAAGCAAGAATGGCGTGCCAAACTAAAATACAAATACGACAATAGGGACATTGCTCCCGTAGTAGAAACTGTTACAGACGTTCAAGAAGATGAAGCAGGAGAATCTGGTAAAGAGCCAACAGCTGAGAATGAGACTGAAGATGAGAAAACCGATATTGAAAAAACGGTAGAAGAGATACCCTTGGTGCCTTATAAGAAGTTGACGCCGACGGCTAGTGAATTTGCGATAAGCATAGAAGGTATTATTAAACGAATTGTCAACTCAAAACCGTGTCTTTGTGTTCAGCACAAGTTACAGCCTCTGCGAACAAAATTATTTACGAACATGTATAATAGATAGAACGGATCAGGTCAGTCAAACAGGCATATACGATTCATCCATAAACATTCTTTCCCTGACCTCCTGACAGTACCAACCATCTGGCAACAGCGCATCTCGCCAATACATGACCGCGCGCACCGCGGCACAGTGGCAGTAATACCAGGACACTTACCCAGAGAGCAGGAGCGGGAGCGCGTAATAAAAGCATTTCTCTAATTTTAAGGGCAAACGTACTGGTACATCTATTATGTGTGAAATATGTCTATGCTGAAATCAAAAATTGATATATACCCTCTCCCACCCCCCACAAGCCCACCACCTAATTTTTGCCCCTAAAAACTTTTTTCGAGAACGTTAAAAAACGAAGTTTGATCGCTTTTTATTTGTTCGTTTTGGTCTTTTCCACCTCCGCCATTGAACCGATTTTCAAAAACTATAAACGTTTTTCGTTCTTGACCAATGAGTGACATGGTTTTCCGTGTCTATAGAGCATCTCTCGTTACTAAAAAATGGTGAACGTACTCATATGAATGTAATCAGATAGCACTTCCACCGCTTTTTCAAATATCATTCCGCAAATAATGTCTATTGACCTGATCACTCAAGGATAAAGGCCATTTTACACGATATTTATTCACTGTGACAGCTTACAAATTCAATCTGAATACCCGTTTTAGATGAGATATATCTAGCAGCAAGAAAAAGTTACATACGAAACATACCAGAAGGTGCCTTGAATCTCAGAAAATTCTCGATCATCGGTGGAGTTTTTCATTTAGATTTGCTATATCAACCGCCACAACCGCAGCATTTTGTGACTATGGATTTGAACCTAACTTGTTGTAAGTTCCCCTTGAAACGCTAAAATGTTTATATAAATGTTGTGCCATAATTACCGGGATAAAATACTGTGTTATCTCTTTACTATCATGCATAAATAACAGTATTTCAGTGTATATTCCAAAAAAGTTGGAAAGAGTACCTTTCTTGGTGACGTTCACACCTCCGAAACCCACTGAACCTGGCGTGAGGAAACAACCAGAGGAAATTGAGGAGGAAATGAAGAGGCAAGAAGAGGAACTTGACAAGTTGATCTGCATTACTTTGACGTAAGTTTGCCTATTTGGTCACGATGATCTGTGAAGAGTTATAAGGACGTTAAGAGAATGAAGTTAAAAGTGGTAAAAACCGGACACATTTTTGATCATCAGAAGGAAATCTGCTGCTGGTCTAATGTCATTAGTGACATTTAAAAAAGAGTTTTAAAACCTACTTTTAGAAAAAATGGGGAGCTATTAATAATAGACTGCAACAATTACATTTTTAATAAAATTTCAATATTATGAACATTACGAGAATGCTGAAAATTGGGATAATTTAGAGATATTCTAGATGTTTCAGAAGTTTCTGAAATTTCGAGAATTTCGTATATCACGAGATTTTTAATAATCTCGAGAACCGCTAGGTCCCTAGAATATAGAGATTTACGGGAACCCTTACGAGCTCGAGAATTAAGGATTTCTAATGTTCCGAGAGATTCTGAAAATCCCGAGACTTCGAAAATTATAAGAATTGAGAATTCCATAATAATATGTTTTCATCAATTTTTGAGAGTGTCGAAAATTATGAGAATGCCGAGAATTTCTAGACATAGATTCTTGAGAATCTGAAAACCTGAGATACCGATATTTCCGAGAACCTTTAGACATTCGAGAATTTTGAAGGTGCTTCTAAAACAGAGAATTTTAAATTTCGATGATTCGAAATAATTTGAAAAGTTCAATATTCAAAAGTTTGAGTTTTTTAGTATTCTTGAATATTATGTTAATATTTTCTACGACGTTTATAATTTACAATAAAGAATTTCATATTACTTTTCGATTTCGAGCATTTCTAAAATTTCGAGAATTTCGAATATCACGAGATTTCTGAGAACCCCTAGAATATCGAAATATTCGAGAACCCCTAGGAATCTGAGAATTTTGAAGATTTCTAATGTTTCGTAATTTTGAAAATCCCGAGACTTCGAAAATGATAAGTGAAAATTCAATAATACTTTTTCCAAACAATTTAGAGAATTTTTATAATCTTGAGAATTTCGAGATTTTCTAGATGTTTCAGAAGTTCGAAAATATCTAAAATTTCGAGAATTTCGAATATCACTAGATTTTTGGTAATCTTGAGGACCGCTGGAATATCGAGATTCTGGAAAGTCCTTAGAAATTTGATAATTTTAAGGCTTCATAATGTTTCGGGAGTTTTGACATAACCCTGACTAAGAAGTTTTTAGAATGTACAATAAAGAATTTCATATTAGTTTTCGAGTTCGAGCATTTCTGAAATTTCGAGAATTCCTATATCACGAGATTTTTATAATCTTGAGAACCTCTAGATCTAGAGATTACGAAACTTTACGAAGAGCTCGAGAATTTTGGGGATTTCTAATGTTTCGAGAGGTTGAAAATTGCATAAGAGTATTTTCAAAAAATTTTGAGCATGTCGAAAATTACGAGAATGCCGAGAATCTCTAGAAACCTGAGAATTACGAGGATTTCGGAAATTTCGAGAATTTCGTATATTACGAGATTCTTGAGAATCTGAAAACCCGAAATATCAAGATTTCCGAGAAACTTTAGACGTTCGAGAATTTTGAGGATTTCTATTGATGTGAGAATTCTGAGTACCTCGACAATGATAAGAATTTTGAAAATGCTTATAAAACTGAGAATTTGAAATTTCGATGATCCGAAATTATTTGAAAAGTTCAATATACAAAATTTTGAGTTTTTGGGTATTCTTGAATATCATGTCAATGTTTTTTACGACGGTTATAACTAAGTACTAGATAATCTTGAGAACCCCTAGGATTTTTAATGTTTCGTAATTTAGAAAATCCCGAGACTTCGAAAATGATAGGAAGTGAGAATTCCATAATACTTTTTCCAAACAATTTTGCGAATTTCGAGTACGAGAATGTCGACGATTGTTATATTCTTGAGAATTTCGAGATTTTCTAGATGTTTCAGAAGTTCGAGCATATCTAAAATTTCGACAATTTCGAATATCACGAGATTTTTGGTAATCTTGAGAACCCCTAGAATATCGAGATTTCGGAGAACACTTAGGAGTTTGAGAATTTTAAGGATTTATAATGTTTCGAGAATTTTGACACAACCATGACTAAGAAGTTCTTATATTTTACAATAAAGAATTTCATAATAGTTTTTCCAAAAAAGTTTGATAATCTCGAAAATTACGAGAATCTTGAAAAATTCGAAATTTTCTAGAAGTTTCGGAAGTTCGATGATCCCCAAAATTTCAAGAACTCCGAAATCTCCAAGAACCTCTATAACCCCTAGAACGCGGAAAGTGAAATTTTGAAAATTCTTAAGAAACTGAGAATTTTAAATTTCGATGTATTTCGATAATTTGAAAAATTCATATTTCAAAACTTTGCGAATTCTTGTTTTTGAGTATTCTTGAATATTTCCAATACTCCTTACTCAGTATTTTTTTAGTTGGCCCCAACACGTGATATTCCTGGAGCCCCCGATCGTCTGCCAATGGGATCCAGAACGAAAACACTGGATGAAAGACAATATCCACGACGTGAAACCCAATGAGGAGAAATGCATAATCTCCTTTAGGACAGGCAGCTTCGGGGTGATCGGTCTGGCTACAATCCGATACGCTAATCTGCCATATCAGGCTTGGGAACTTAAGCCAGAAGACGAGTGCGTAAGCTTTGATACATATTTGGGTATCAGCTAGACTAGCAATAAAAACCATTTATTATTATTATTCACACTGAATCAAAAGAAATATCTAAAACAGACGCCCATAGCCCTATCCAGGCCGAGTTTAACGATCTTCGTTTCGATTGCACATTTTTTTAGGACAAAAGGTTACTTTCTACCGATCTAGATCAGAAAAATCAAAATTTCAAAGTGACGTATCTCAGCGAAATAAAAATACATTTAAGCAAACTCAATGGCACTTGATAGGACAAAGCTTGTACTTTAAGATGACGTCTATGGTTTTTTGAAAAAAAGAAATAATTCGACATGCAACATCATCTCAAATATAGGCAAAAATGACTATTTTTGCACTTTTAGGTTAGGTTATCTCGCTAAAGCCAACTAAGATATTTGGACACATGAAAATCTTGTCGACCTGCGTTATTCTTGCTGTTTTGGCAGAGATGTTTGAAAAAATGTTTTTGTTCGTAAAGCAGCTCCATTTTTTCCAACTTGATATACTTAAAAATGAATAATTTTATCCTATTTATCGAAAATTGTTTTCAGTGGTACAGTTACGTTGAATATCACCGCAGCCATTCTTATGCTAGAATTCAAAGTTAAAGGTGGTCTCATCTGCTTGTCGCAATTGCAAAACAGTCCTAGTAACGCTTTACAAGATTTGGTTGGGGTGTATATGAAACTCTTCAAATTGAAAAGGGTGAGTAAATGCACAGAATACAGCTACCATACAGGGTGTTCGAGATATGTTAGAGGGTGATTCCTTGTTAAAAAATATGAAAAAAAGTTTAAATAACCATGTGTTTTGAAGATACAGTGTGAAGTTTAAAAAATATAATAATATCTTAAAAAATAGTTATTCGATTATGTTGAAATTTGAACACTGACGTGCAAATGTCAAACCTCCATGCAGAAGTTATTTTTTTGTTTTTTAATGCACTTGTGATTTTTTAGCAAAAATTAATAAACCAATTTTGGGCAGTGACACGCAATGAAACGGTTTTTATTTTTTTTTTCTCAAAAACGAAGTGAGATACCAGAAAAATACAACAGGCAAATAGCTGTATTTTTAGATTCTTAATCAAACAACAAATATTAAAGTTACAAAAAAGGCAGTGGCGTACATTTTTTTCCCGATAATATACGCTAAGGTACCCAGGACACCGTTGGACCTAATAATTTCAATCTATGTATTTAGGGATAAATTAGCTTCTTGATACAACAAATAATATTGTCAAATTTCAAGATACTCGTATTTATAAAAAATATTATTTTATTTTCTGAATATTTTCGAAAAAACGTTTCATTTCTGAGATCCAGGACTACAATCAAAAGAGGTTTCAAATGTCATTTTTGCTAACAGTAAATTTCATGGATTTTCTATTCTCCATTCATATCTGAAACGGCGCATTTTTAAAAAATGGTCGTGATCGAAATTTCATCGAAATTCTACACATATTCGACTAAATTTTTGTACTTTTGTACCAATATACAGGGTGGCGCATCGAAAACGAAACAGACGCATTTACTGGCAGCTCAGTTTTTTTTTTTGAAAAGCGCTCAGACCCGGCGATTTTGTTTTCGAGGGAGACACAAGTTTGGCAAAAAATTACGTTAACACGTGCAGCCCTCTGGGCGGGGGTGACACCAACCCTAAAATCTTAAATTGAAAGGGGGGTCGAGAGATACCTTATTTTAAAGGTCTTCCAATTCCCTTTATAATGATATAAAATTAATGTACTTCAGTTCAGTAGTTTTGAAGATTTATTGATTTAAAGCTTAAATAAAACTAGGCTAGTTAATGTTGAAAATGGCCACCATGACTCTCCATGCAATAATAAAGATTTTACTCAAAAGCCGCACATTTTACAATATTTGAGGAGTAATTTGAAGTCACTCGTTCACAATTCTTTGTCGCAGGTCTTCTAATGATGTTGGCTGAGTAGCATAGATTTTGCTTTTTAAATGACCCCACATAAAGAAATCCAAAGGTGATAAATCTGGCGATCTTGGGGGCCATTCAATGACACCTCCTCTACCAATCCATCGATCTGGAAACGTCTGATCTAAATATTGTCGAACACGTAATGCGTAATGTGGTGGGGCACCATCCTGTTGGAATATCAACCTATTAGCAATGTACCGCCGATCATTCTGATTTTCAATTATGACTGTTAATGCAGGATCTATGGCGTCTTCCAGTAATTCCAAATACATTTCACCGGTCAAATTTCCAGGTAAGAAAAAACGACCAACCAAATGATAGCCAAAAATACCAGCCCAAACATTTAATTTTTGTGGCTGCTGTGTATGAACCTCATGATAAATTCTGGGATTAGAATCGGACCAATATCGGCAGTTATGACTATTTACTACCGCATTTAAGAGAAAGGAACATTCGTCGGAAAAGCAAGTGTTGAATAGAAAATGTTCATCGTTTATCATTCGTTCACTCATATCTTCAGAAAATTGTAATCGCCGATCAAAATCGTCTTCATTAAGTTCTTGTACCAGGTGAATTTTATACGGATAAAAACTATGGGCCTTTAGAATCCATTACTTATTAAGTAAATTCTTTTAGTCAAAACTAATCGGATGTACCTACTAAAGTCTACTTTAAGCTTTAAATCAATAAATCTTCAAAACTACTGAACTGAAGCTCATGTATTTTACATCATTATAAAGGGAATTGAAAGACCTTTAAAATAAGGTATCACTCGACCGCCCTTTCCATTTAAGATTTTAGGGTTGGTGTCACCTCCGCCCAGGGAGCTGCACGTGTTAACGTGATTTTTTGCCAAATTTTTGTCCGCCTCGTAAACAAAATCGACGTGTCTGAGCATTTTTCCAAAAAAAAAACTGAACTGCCAGTAAATGTGTCTGTTTCGTTTTCGATGCGCCACCCTGTATAAAAGGCTTGATCATGAAATGTAAATCTTTTTTAGTTGATGAAAGAAGCAGGAGTCGACGTATTTCCAGAGCCGGATGCTTTTCTTTACGTTGAAGGTATGACGTGTCACATATGTAGTCCTAGCTTTCTGCCTTCAGTTTTACACGCGCAAAGTGTAGATGGCGCCAATGGCAAAGTCACCAAATATCTCAAGCATGCAAGTTCGCTGTCAATTTACTAATGCCATCATAGACACAAAACGCGATCGGAAGTTAACATCATTACACTGGAGAACAAATTTTAGTTTTTTAATTGTATCTTGTGGGAAAAGTGCACTTCTTTGTTAATTTTGGGGTGCTGAATCCATAAATGACAATGAAATAAAAAAATTAGTTGCGGTTAAGAAAAAAAACTTTTTATTTTTAAGGATATATTAAAAAAAGTAACAAGATTCACATACTTATAAGAATCACTATATGCGCTGTCTGTTTGCTGTTCTTTTATGGATCGTTTCTGGAGCATCTCTACCAAGAGTCCAACAGTAGTCTGCAAGCATGGAAGGATTCCACTTTCCCTGGTACCTTTTTTCCATTGTTGAAATATCCTGATGAAAACGTTCGCCGTGCTCATCACTTACGGCTCCGCAATTGTCAGGAAAAAAGTCCAGGTGTGAGTGTAGGAAATGTATCTTAAGAGACATATTACAGCCCATCTTTTGATACGATGACAGCATATTTTTGACAAGGTTTTATAGTTGTCAGCTTTTCTATTTCCCAAGAAATTAGTGACCACCAGACGGAAATCTACCTGGCTCTAGGAATTGACGAACAGGCCAGTTTTGTCTGGTGTAATGAAGTGCCTTTGCCCGACTGTCCCATTCACACAAAAAACAGCAAAACTTTGTGTAGCCTAGCTGCAGCCCAAGTAAAAGTGCAACAACTTTCAAATCGCCACAAATATGCCATTGGTGCTCATCGTATTTTATGCATGTCAATAGGTACTTCATATTGTCATATGATTCTTTCATGTGAACTGCATACCCTACAGGAAGAGATGGTAAAATATTTCCAATATGCAATAACACTGCCTTTAAACTCAATGTTGAACTGTCTATAAAAAATCTCCATTCTTCTGGGTTATAGTTTATATTTAAAGCCGCCAGTAAGCCGTTAATATTACTGCAGAAAACCAAGTTATTCTCCATATTGAAAAATGGTTCTAAGTCTTTGTGGCGTTTACGAAAAACACATACCGAAACATCGTCTTTTAACAAGTTCCACTGCTGCAGTCTTGATCCAAGTAACTCTGCCTTACATTTTGGAAGTTCTAAATCTCTTACAAGATCGTTTAATTCTGACTGTTATTTTGTGCGGTTGGTGGCATAATGTGCTCGGTATAAAATCAGGATCTCTTGACGTTGATGGCATATCTTCTTCCTGACGAATCACTCGATCGCCATGATCTGATTCGTTTTCTGATTCGCAAGTGTAGGATTCTGGGGGTTTTGGAATAGGATTTTCGTCACTGTGAGGCACAGGTCTCATCGCACATGGTATGTTTGGGTAGTTAATAACCGATTTTTTTTTCTTGGACATACCTGTGGCTTGTCCAACACAAGGTACCATGCAAAAGTAACAATCATTAATATGATTTGTAGGCTCTCTCCAAACCATTGGGACAGCAAAGCGCATAGACCTTTTTTTGACATTTAACCAGCTCCTCAGACTTGAAGCACATGTATTACAGCAGACGTGGGGTGCCCACTGTTTGTCTTGATCACGTAGTTTACAACCGAAATAAAGCTGATATGTCTTTGTTATTAGTGGAGTAATAGACCGTCTCTGAGACGCAAAAGTCACATCACCACACACGTAACAAAACTGATCTGGATTGTTTACACACTTTCGAGACATCTTGCATGAACGCTGTCAGCCAACTGAGGAAAAAATGGCTAATATAAAACAATATAATGTACACGTATGTATAACGTAACACAATGATGCCGATTACATCATCTTTCGTTGCCGAATATAAAAATGTAGCACGTGCATTCTTGTGAATTACAGTATATTAACACTGTCACAGCAGGAACACATATAATTACCGTATCTCTAAAACTTGAACTAATATTGAAAAAATAAGTTTCATTCCGGTTTTAGCACATTAAAAATAGTAATATTTTGTTGATTTTATTTAGGATATTTGTTGGCTGTTGATCAGTGTTATTTAATAAACAATGTTTCAAAGAATAGATAGTTACCACTCCCCCTTTGCATTCTTCACAAATATTAAACGAATGACTCTACTCTACTGATGTTCTATTGCCGTGGTAGATTTTTTCAATATTCTGTAGGTAGTTGTGAGAAGCACTGGCCTATGGAAAGACACCTGTACTTCGATATGGCCAGAATGTGCAGTTGCTTCAACTTCGCTTGGTCCAGATGGAATTTGACTGCTGGCAGAAGAAATGTCGTGATGCAGATGAGAGAGTACATTCCTGGCAGCCAAAAACAGGTAGAGCTGTCTCGATTCCAAACATCATGATAGGCTATGAAATATCAAACCAGTTAACCTATACGTTTTATGATGCTTTTGGACAAGTGAAATTTGAATTTGAAACATCCGGCATACCACTTCTTAGAGCTCCATTGTCAGGGAGACTCAAACCACTTATATGTTTTAATTTTTCTTTGTTGTACGACATCTCGGCCACCACAGACTGACATCTGTGCCACCGTGGTGGCCAAATCGTCATACGATAAAGATAAATCATATACGTGGTACGATTCGGAGTACCATGAAGGTGGAGATCACAGAAAAAGTTCCAGAAGTTACACGCCATTTTTTACTGTCCGTCCTGGTCAATATAAGATATTGACCTTCAATCGCAATTTTGAATTTTCAGAAAAGTCACATGATGTGTCTCGTAACCCCTCTCAAAGCAACCTACATCAACTGCACGGAAGTGAGTACGACATTCACAGACGAAGACATCGAAAATATGAAGGTAATACAGAAATAAATTAATCACAATTATAAAAGAGGCTAAATTAATTTTTTTCAAAAATGAAGTTGCAAAATTCTTCGGACAAAATGTGGGACTTCATTGAAAAAATGCAACATTCTCAAAAATGCCAAGAAATTCCTGCTGTACAAAAAGAAAATGGGGGACATTTCAAATGAAACACAACTTATATACTAAGTGACATATAAATCAGAACACCCAGTTTAAATGGTTTTATTTTAATAAAAGTTGGTGAATGTATTTATCTTAGTGTAAATAACAAGTGAAAAAATTTTCAGCCTTATCAGTTGGACATTCCGGTTTTTATACTGCTTTTTATTTAATTCACTAACGCTCTAAAAATGAATATTTCAGCCGCAGTAAAGAATCAACGTTGGCGGATTTTGGTTCTTGACATCCTTTACGATCGGTTACGATGCCTAGAGTATGGAGACGTGTACGATTTCGTCAACTTAGTGAGTTTGATAGGGGCCGTATAGTGGGACTTCGGGAAGCTGGACTTTCTTTTCGGGCAATTGCAGTTAGAGTGCAAAGAAGTGTAGACACTGTGGTTAGGTGTTGTCAGGCATGCCTTCGAGAAGGCCGTACGCAAAGAGCAAGGGGCACTGGACGCCGCCGTAGAACAACAGACCGTGAAGATCGCCGCCTAAGATTATTGGCCTTAAGGGACCGTTTCTCCACTACCAGGTCCATTGCAAATGAATGGTTTGCAGAACACGGAAGACCTATTGGCATGCGAAGTGTTTACCGACGAATGAGAAGTTTTGGCTTGTTTTCATACCGGCCACACTGGGTCCTCCCTTTAACTCGAGAACACCGACGTAATCGCCTTGAGTGGTGCAGACAACGGTCACTCTGGGATCAGGAATGGAACAGTATTGTCTTTAGTGACGAGTCTCGATTTTGTTTAGGCATGCACGATGGTCGTGCCAGGGTTAGAAGGCGACGTGGTGAAAGGAGGAATCCACAGTTTTTTGTTGAAAGACATGTTCATCACACTGTTGGAGTTATGGTTTGGGGTGCTATAGCTTATGGTTCCAGGTCACCTTTAATCTTCATCAACATGAACGCGCAGCGTTATATCCACGAAGTTCTAGAACCCCATCATTTACCCTATCTTGACACCCTGGCAGATCCAACTTTCCAACAAGATAATGCCCGACCACATATTGCAAGAGTCACAATAGACTTCTTTCAACATAATGATGTCACATTGTTACCATGGCCACCAAGATCTCCCTACTTATCCCCAATTGAGCACGTGTGGGATATGATGGGTAGGAGATTGCTCAATTTGCAACGTCCTCCTCAGACTCTAGAAGCACTTCGAGAGGAGTTGGTGGTTGCCTGGAATGAGATACCACAGGAGGACATTGACCACCTGATCAGAAGCATGCCTAGGCGCGTTGGAGAATGCGTAGCACATCAGGGTGCATCCACACATTATTAAAGGTCAAAGGGCTTTAAAGCAGTGCAATCATTTTGAAATTTTTATCATTTACTTATTATGCTTCATTAAGTACTTATACAAAATTTTATTAAAATCAAGCGATTTAAACTGGGTGTTCGGATTTATATGTCACTTAGTATATATACGAAAACCATATTGCAAAATCTCTGTATCTGACACAGACCGATCAATACGAAATTGAACATATCATAAAGCGACTGAGAGTTGAGAAATCACCGGGATTTGATAATATAACCGCATACACTCTGAAACAAATAAATTATAAAAGTATTAGCATATCTTATAAATACCTGCATGGAAAGAGGACTGTTCCCGACCCAATTAAAAAGGGCAATAATAAAACCTCTATTTAAATCTGTAATTATCGCCCAATTTCAGTATTGACAAACTTTTCAAAAATTTTCGAAAAAATTCTTAAAAAACGATTTTCAGATTTTATTGCAAAATAGAACCTCATATCTGAAGAGCAATATGGATTCCAGGAAGCAAAATCAAGTCAAGATGCACTTATTCAGTTAACAACCAAAATTTACACGTACGTTGATAATAATAAGGCAACAGCATGCCTTTTTTTAGACCTAACCAAAGCATTCGATAGTATTACACATCAAAAATTATTAAGAACCTTGCAAAATTTAGGATTTCGTGGAGTCACTTATCAACTCATGTACACTCAGTGAAAATATGATTGTTAGATGCGGAGTTCCACAAGGAACCGTATTAGGACCAATGCTGTTTAATTTATATATTAATGACCTTTTTAAGTTAAAACACGATGGAGAAATTATTGGTTTCGCAGACGATGCGGCAATTATTTGCTCAGACAAAGATTGGACCTGTTTAAAAAACAAAATTGAATTAGATTTTCAAAAGGTTACACATTTTTTCACGCAAAGGATTTTAACAGTCAATTTCAACAACAATTTCCCCAAATTTTAATCAACTCCAAATTAAAACGTTGAATAGCTGTAGAAACATACATTCGGTTGATAATTTCAAATACCTAGGGGTATTCATAGATAACCATCTAATATGGTATAAACATATTGAAAATTTAGTAAGAAAATTAAGCTTCCTTATTCCGAAAATCAAATATTTTAGCAGTTTTTTAAGCGAAAAATATCTACACATGATATATCATGCCCTTGTTCAATCATTACTATCTCACGGAATCTTAGCATGCGGGAGAGTCATGAATAATTATTATAAAAAGACTGAACTTACGCAGAAGTGGATTTTGAAAGTTATGTTGAACAAAAAGAAATATTATCCCTCAGAGAATCTTTACAATGAATCTCAGCTTTTCGACTGCCGGCAAATTTATTTTTATCATACAATAATATATTTAACAAAAAATCCAAAATTGTTACTTTCTATCAGTCACAACCATCAAACGGGATTCAAGGAAACCTCTCCACTAATTCCTAGACTTAATAAAACTATCAGCCAAAGATCATTCTATTTTCTATGCTCAAAATTGTATAATGTTATTCCTGCAAACCTTAAACATATAAAATGTAAAAAAAGTTTAAAAGTTGAATTAAAATCATGGATCCTAAATCAACCAAGGCTACGAACCCATAAGTTTGTTGACACTAAAAACCTATATGTTTTTTGATCATAAAATGATGCTAATTTATACATTTGACTAGTATACTTAAAAGCACAAGTGTACACGTTTTTCTTTATATTATGTTTATTGGATATTGCCGTTATTATTTATACGAAAACCTTGTAATTGGACCAATAAACATTGTTATTATTATAATACTTATCTTCTCAATTTGAGTGTTTTTGAAAATGGTTTTAATATTACCAAAAAGTTTTCTGTAGTGGTGTGTAGTTCGCGAACGAACTAGTTCAGTCGAATAGTAGTATTACTGGTTTATTGTAGGAAAAGAATAATTTACAAAGGTACACATTCCAATAATTGTACAATAAGCACGGAAAACCCCAAAGAGGTAAACTTGTGCTGGATTCTTTTGATTGATAATATATGTGAACTAGTTCATCATCCCTTGTAAAACTCGTTCACTCCTTCACTACGAATTACATTTGAATTTTATAGAAATTTATTTTACGATGTCAAGTATAAAATACAAATCAGCGCCTAGATGTGACGCGGTGCGAAAATGTTTTGTATGTGATGCGTCTTTCCTAAATTTTCTGTGATATGGCTTAAAAAACCACACATCTCAGAGCCTACAGATTTCGGCATTCTGCAACCAACAAAGCATAATGGTAAACTAACTTACAGCTGGTGTTTAGGTTATTTGCGTAATAGCTCTGCGAGTGAAAGATTGAGAGGCGACGCTTTCGTTTGTTGGCGAACTAGTTCGTTTTTTTTGAGCGCGACCTACTGAACTGTTCTGAAGCTCGGCTCGTACAGTTTACTACTGAGTTACTTCATTTTTTACCATACCATACCTTTTGCTTGTTTCAGTTTTGCGCCGATCTTTACAACCTGATGAAGTCAACCTCGGGCATCGCGATAAGAAAAAGGGTGCAGGCAGCTTCTTTCGACATACAGTACGCGGTAGCACAGCTATTGACATTAACCAGAGTACTGAGCTTCTCTTAACACTCGAATATGACATGCATGTCTTTGTACTTTCTCGTAATAAAAATATACATAAATTTTCAACTTCATTTCAAAGTATACATGTAGAAAGCAGTCTAAGAGTCAACAGCGGTTTGGTGCTGCCCATCCAGAGGCGTGTGATTTAGTAAAGCATGGGACGTACAGTGGTTGAAAATCCAGAAAACACCTAGGCAAAGTCCAGAATTTTTTTTTGCGTTTGACTCCAGATTAGTAAATATTTGTTGCATCAAACTTCGACATGGCGAGAAGCTCGTGTCTAAAAATTGAGCGCATTTAAAACATAGTCGAAACGTCATTTCGAAATTCTAATTATGGCATCTTGTAAGAGAGAAAAAGTGACAATGTCAATGTGCAATTCATTTTGAAATCGACTAATTAAAATCAGACTAAATATTAAAACGATTCTTGGAAAATCAGGTATTTGCCATCTCTCTCCGAAGAGGAGATCTGCCATTTTGAATTCGAAACAACTAATATCTAATTCGTTACCAGCGATCTCAATGACATGGAAAACTCGATCGGCACTGTTGGTAGCACTGTCAGATAATCTATGAATTTGTTTATCGGTGTAAACACAATCAGGATGGCCTTAAAGAAACCCATCTGAATAAATTCGTGGAGAAATTGTTGATGTAAAACGGGTATTGGGATTAATTATAAAGAAGGTACTTGTAAGAGAATAACTATGATTCTTCTTTGCAACGTGAGTCTCTGTGACGTTGGGAAGTATTATTATACAGCGCAGTCTTAAAAATCCCTGTACAATAGACTGTAAAAACAACTTTGTGCCAGAAATCGAGACACGCCGCTAGATGGACGTTAGCTAGGCAGTGTTGTCTTTTATATTCCTTATGATGCCCCAGTTGTGTAATCATTTATAATATTAGAGGTGAGTCATACTGCGTAACCTTGATGGAGAGGCAAAGCTGCTGAATACTTGATCTACTACGGTTTGGGTTCTTTAGCATGAGATTTACGGCAACACTGCATCCTGCATCGTTCTATTTGATATAAATTTATCAGAGATAGGGCAAACATGTTATACATTGCAATTGTTTTCTGTTCTGTTATCAGAACATTTCATGGCTAAAGGATATAATTAGTCTTTGGCTAAAGGATCTTAATGAATGCTTTCATCTCAGGCAAAGGAACATATGTATAACTGTGAATATCTGAAAACAAGTACCCTAGAATAGCACTCTCTGCATTTTATGTGATATCAGTTCTAGTACTTTGATTACTCAACACATTCCTCCCAAGGTGAATACTTGCAGGAAAACCTAATTTTACAATTCCTGTACATATTTGAGAGTACCTATAGTAAAACAATATAGAAGCGATGTTATAGGAAAAATGTATTCCTCCTTATTTTCAAATTACTGATAATTTTAGATGTATTCAAAATATAAGACACTTAAACAAAACAAAATCTATACCGAGCCAAATCACTTTTTAATACGACTTTCTGCATCACATTTGTATACCATACCAAAGCCTCCACATTATTTACGCGACAAGTTTCCGTTCGGTCATTCTAGAACCTTCCATTAGTGATTCCACAAAAAATTCACCAGACCTGCGACAAATGCGAACAAGTGGCAACAGCGCTTGTTACGCTTCCGTATCACGGACCGTTGCGCATTCCCATTGCGCACCACACACTAGTTTGGGGCACGCGGTGTCCCCCCCTCTCGGCTCTTCACACAGCACTCGTATTAACATCCGACAGGCGACGTTGCCACGCTCAGGCGGACTTCTCCAAATAAGGGAGCTGGGGCGTAGTGTGATTGATATAATAGCTACGGGAAAGTGTCTTTACCTATTCGGCGCGGAGGGTTCGTGCCAAGGATCACGGATTGATGGGAGACGCTAAATGTCCAAAAATCAAACGAGATAATTCTTTTTCAGCCAAACGAATGGCCTGTACTCATACATCTCCACTCTCTTCCTAAGATAGTGAATGTTCTAATCCTGTTCGTTATCGTAGCAGGACGATTCTGTATTATGTTCACATCAATTTTGTGATCGTTCTGGAACTAGTACGATTCCAGCACTCAAGGTTGGAACAACTCTGTTCAAAGAAGATTCCTAAATTCATTTTTGTGTTCTGCTACTGCTTCACAGATGGCGCTAGAATCATTCCGATCCCTCTTTGCGTCCCGGAATACAGAATATGGTTGACAATCTCCAGGTAGACTACTATATATAAAATTCAAACAAATCTCTGTTTTTTCATACTTTTACGTGCTGAAGCTGAGTTCTTCTGACCATATTTAGTAACACCCTGTATCATCTAAATATTTCACTAGGCATCGTTGAGAAAAATTTCAATCAAAAATTGTAGGACGACCTTTAGGGTCATTTCAAGGGCGAATCAAAAAAAAACATTCAAATAAAAAGCAGGAAAAATATGACCATTACCATGACGTTGACTATTTACCTCAAGGTCATTTCAAGGCCTAATCAAGACTTCGAAAACAATTTGCTTTATCAAATACGGTCGACAGCATAGTGGTGAGGTTTGTGGAGATCACCTAAATGTGACCTTGAGCATGACCTTGACCTCGACTTTTACGGTCAAGTCGAATTTCCCAAGGGAAATCTCTCATTTTTACACTGGAAATGGAGAAGGCAAGAAATTTTACGTCCTGAAAGTAAAGGTCGCATCAAGATTAAATTTTATTTGCCGTCATTTTGAAAAAGATGGTCGGGACATGTGTGTCAAAAGCGGGTCATATTGCAACAATTCCTCTTAATGAGCAAAGAACTGTTACTGCGGATTGGTATTCCACCATTTGTTTGCCAAAAGTCATCACCGAGCTTCGCAAAATCAACCCCGAAAGAAGGATCATCCTCCACCAAGACAATGCAAGCTCGCACACAGTCCAAAAAACAAGTCAGTATTTAACGGAAGAAAACGTGAAATTATTGGACCATCCTCCGTATAGTCCCGATCTAAGTCCTAACGTTCAAAAATGCCGTTTTGGATATGACAGAAACGAGTGGAATAAGTGCTTCGAAAATTGGTTCTAGCGCATGCAGATGTGTATTAACCTTCGTGGAGAATACGAAAAACAATTAAAGTCATTTGAAACTACCTACCGAGTTGTTTCATTTCCATATGCAAAACTTAAAAGACATCCCTCGTACCTGACATTCGAATATTTCTGCGATCTTGATAAATGACAATATGCACATTCACGAGACATCAAATACTGATATATCTTTTCCGATGTAGCTGATTTATGTTGAGATCCTCAGTTTTACAAAATGTCATGACCATTTATGCTGCTTGGCGTATGGCTGTACGATAGAAATTGTGCGTGAACGTCCAAATACAGCATATGGGCTTGAATTCTCATTGGAAGAAATTCAACCAATTTAAGTCCGATTTCCATAAGGAAATTGCGGTGTTCTTTGTGATTTGTTCATTATAAATTGGAATTTTTTTCATATATCTTGAATCGATTTGGATGAATCAATTCAATTTTTTTCTACCTGACGCCCATCAGTCTATCCCCGCCGTTCGCCATTGATTCACAAAATTATTCACTTGACTGGTCTCCCACCGGACGCGTTTCCCCATGCCCCTAAGCTTGGCAACAGCGCGCAACTCGCTATCCGCTTTCCGTTGTGTCCGCGACCAGTCTGCATTCGCTTCGCTATTCGCTACATCCATGACGGTTTGTTCAGTGACGGGCACCATCAAAAAGAAAATGCTAGCTTTTTGAAGAAGCAAACAAGCTGGTCAATTGGTCGCCGTCGTGTGAAGGCTGAAAATCGCGAGCAATATCCACGCAAAGGTTGTACAATCCGTCACACGACGGTGACACACACGGACAAACGGTTTCTCGCGCAACTATTGGTCGATACAGCCAGCAGTGCACGTGATACCCTATCCGTACTCGGTATCAGCACTAAGCGATCCGTCTCGTCTCGTTACCGCAATCAAAAACTTTCAAAAAAAAATCCATTTTTGACCGTACCCGTTAGATCCGTCGCGATATCGCAGCTAGCTGGGTGAAAGTTGAACATCGTACGTCAAACTGTCAAGGGCTGCTGTGATCCGCAACGCATCTCACTCCTTAGTAAGTATTTTGCACGAAAAGTGCTAATGCACCGCTTTTTTCACCAATAAAATCATTTTTGGGTGTTTTCTTTTCGGGGCATTGCCCGGGCTGATCCGCCGCGTGACGTGAGCATGTGCGCTCATCTTATTGGTCGAAGTCCGCAAACACTTCTCGCTCTCTCTTTCTACTATCCAATTCTTTTGTTTGTTTTTGACATTGAAACTAGCCTTTACCATTATCTCACAGATTTTTCGATAGTGTCATCGTATAAAATGATAACAGCTGGTCAGGTTGCGCCCCTCGCGACAAATGTTGCGCTAGAGGTCAGGAAAATATAAATATTGCCGTTATTTAATTTGTGTCTGTGACACGTTGTACGCGTATCGACGTGACGCGCGGTGTTGCCAGACCCAGCTCGTTTTGCCACTCCTTGATAATGGCTATTTTCAAAGCATTTTTTTTTCTACAAACCCGCTACGCAATCTATGCCATACTACTCCCAAAGCCTCTCGTGTTCTATACTCCAACACATCCTCGCTTTAAAATCAATATAAACCCTCTAATTCTGTTAGTTTTCTTTGTTTGAGGGCACATATTCATCGAAAGCGCAATTGTTTTGAATCCCACCCTCGCTGCGTTCTTTGTTAATAAATATTCATGCATCTGACAGTTCATAATGAATGTTTTTTCGTGCGTAGAGAAACTGATATAACGTTTCTAACACCTGTTAGGTAAAATTACAACCTCGACTTTCTTTTTGTAGCAGAAAACAAAGTGATTTCGAATGACGTCATGATCCACATCCAGGGTACCTACCTGTTCAGTGCCTGGTTTTCAATCTAAACAAACAAGTTGACAAGTCTATAAGCTCTAATGATCAATCAAACTTCCCAACATCAATTTTACGATTCCGACATTTATTTATGCGAGTTTAAAAAACTAACCATATTTTTTACAGCAGAAAGCCAACATTGAAAAATAAGTTGAAATGTACTCAGCGTGCCTTAAACTTGGTTATTACAAAAAAATAAAGCAAAATTTGTGATGCTTGAGCTGTGACACCTGTTAATCTCTACGCCTCTGAATTTGGAAAAATCGATTGTCGCCCTTTGCAACACAAGGTTTCCTTCCCAGTAGATACGCATTGAGATAAAATATTGTTTTCCAAAAATGATACATAGATTACGTGCCTAAGCCTTCTCAAACAAGCTATTCATAGGTTTTCGATTCTATAAGCTTTAAATAATGCATAATTTCATTGTATAGTGTCATTTACACCAACGTATGTTTCATGCTCATTTTATTTACACTTTGAAACGTCTAGTAGTCTGGTATCAAACTGACAAACTGAAATAAATGCAATAGGAAAGCAGATTTGGCTTTCAGACTGGTTCTTTTCAGTTTAAGAGAGGAGTTGGTTATATTTTCATCTGCTAGCATTAAAAGTGGTTTTGACAGTATTATATTTACGTAGGTATTTTTTGTGATCATTGTTTGCTTAGAGATAGAAAATCTACTTTTCTGCGAATGATTGCCGTCAATGTAGGCCAGAAACACGTAATATTTTCCTACAATTTTGTTGACAGTAATTTTTTTGGTGGTTTCTTTAGGTGATAATATGACTGGGACATCTACTGTCATTTGCATAAACGCGTTTGATCAAAAATCTGGGAAACTATCGTAAAAAAGTAATAAAAACGATTTTGCAGGGAATTAAATCTTTATCGTCATACTTGTGCATAATTTGTCATAAAGTCAACAGGTTACGAGAAATTTAAGAGTGTTATCGACAGCTCCGCCTGTGATGAGATAATAAATATTAAAAATCATGATTTATTTATATTCTGTCAAGTGGCTAGCGATACAGAAGGGTGAGAGGCTCTGGAAATATGTGCCGCGCCCTCAAGTGGAATATGTCCCAGATAAAGTCCGCATTTATTTATTGTTGATATCGCCGATAGAGTGGGATAGATTGATTTTGTACGATTCCTAAATTGTGTTTATTGAATGGATGAAAAGTAGCCTGAGACAAATGAATCGGTATTGATATTGACCTCAGTCGTTTGAAATGTGGTTACTAATTGCTCCTTTCTGTGAAGGGAGGCTGTGAGAATAAAAAAAAATATTTTTTCTGTGACGGGAAAAAAGTTTGACATTTTATCTCTGTTGACAGGTAATAAAATGTCACTTTTTATCAAATTACTTTTTCCCCGGGAAAAAAATGAGTACTTTTTTCCCAGATATTGTATAAACACATATTTAGCTGGCAATAATTTTTGTGACGCTACTTTGGCTACTTCTAACGGGTGTTTTTTTCAGAGGTATAGGATTTGATTTTCAAAAAAAAACACAAAAAATTTGAAAAAACGATTAAATCGTTATTTGAGTCGATAGAACGGTCGATATAATTTAATGTTTAAAGATTATTTCATGTAAATGTTGGCCGCGGCTCCGCTTTAGATGGCCCATGCGCAAGGTCCAATTATGGCACACTCTCTCCAACATATCGGCCGGTATCTCAAGAATAAATGCTTCAATATTGGCTTCCAGTGCGTCAATCGTTGCTGGTTTATCCCTGTAGACATTAGCCTTAACATGGCCCCACAAGAAATAGTCCAACGGCGTTAAATCACACGATCTAGGCGGCCAATTGACGGGCCCCAAACGTGAGATAAACTGTTCACCGAACTCGCCTCTCAATAGGGCCATAGTTTCGTGTGCGGTGTGGCATGTGGACCGTCTTGTTGAAACCACATGTCAGCCAAGTCCAGCTCCTCCATTTTGGGCAAAAAAAGTTTGTTATCATCGCACGGTATCGCTCGCCATTCACAGTTACGTTCCGGCCATTGTCGTCTTTGAAGAAGTACGGCCCGATGACGCCACCGACCCATAATCAACACCAAACAGTGATTTTTTCGGGATGCATTGGTAGCTCTTGCAATGCTTCTGGCTGGTCTTCACTCCAGATGCGGCAATTTTGCTTGTTAACGTACCGATTGAACCAGAAATGAGCTTCGTCGTTGAACACAATTTTTCGATAAAAATGTGGATCTTCCTCCAACTTTGCCAGCGCCCATTCACGAAATTGGAAACGTTGTGAGAAGTCGTGTGGCTTCAATCCTTGCACCAGCTGTATCTTATAAGGTTTTTCACCCAAATCCTGTCGCAAAATTTTCCACGTAGTGGAGTAACAGAAGCCCAATTGCTGCGAACGGCGGCGAATCGACATTTTACGGTCATCACTAACACTGGCGGATACAGCCGCAATATTTTCTCCAGTCCTCACTCTACGTCTGCGTGTTGGTGGTTTAATGTCCAATAATGTAAACTGGGTTTGAAATTTAGTCACAAGCTTCCGAATAGCTCCCTCAGTAGGCCGACCAAATTGCCCATAAATTGGAAGCAGTGCTCGATGCACTCTCTTAACCGAGCATGAATTTTGATAGTACAATTCAATAATTTGAAAGCGTAGTTCGTTCGTAAGTCGATTCATGGTTAAGTAGACCAAACTGAACAAGTTCGACAATGACACAAGACACAATTGACGCATCATCTGTCAAAAACAGTGTTGCCAAAAAGATACTAGCAAAAAAATAACCCATTACTAATTCCGGTGGAGTCAAAGAAAACTCGGAATCAGACATTTTTTACTTTATAGTATTAAAAATGACTTCTAAACAACCACGAAGTTCACCATTTTTAAATCAAACCACAAAATTATATTAACAGCTATTTGATTACTTTAAAAGTTTCCTTAGCAACGCAGGTCTAATTGTCGCTATAAGAACAATATAGCTTACTAATTTCAAAATTCAAATTTCACATCTATAATTTTCTGACCTAAATATTTTAATAATATTTTTCAATATTAAATCTCTCCCGAAAACTACTAGATTTTAAAATCTAACTATTGTTTTAAGAAGTTACATGCGAGCATTTAAATTTTGCATATCGAAACATAGTAGGCCGCGCGGATCGAACGTTAGTACTGAATCTTAACCTCACTCTTTAGTAAACCTAAATTCAAAGTTTCACAACAACACGTGCAGTGTTCTCACTACAGTGAATTATTAAGTGTCTACAAGTCATTAGAAAAATGGAACTCAACCGAGAACTTTTTTGCGCCATAATTTATTACAACTTTCAGAGACAATTATCGCAACAAGAAGTTACTGTCTGTTTTCGGCAACGAAGCGCCACATCAGTCTAAAACTTTCCGTTGGTATCGAGAATTCAAACGTGGACGGGTGAGTCTTAGCGACGATCTTAGGGTGGGTGCACCAAAAACGGCAGTTACCCAGGAAAACGTCGATGCTGTGCGCAAACTCATCATTGAAGATAGACATGTGACATATCGCGTGATTGAGGCGTCCTTGAAGATCTCAAAGACCTCAATTCAAAAAATGTTACATGAAGAATTAGGAGTAAGAAAATTAGTTAATCGTTGGATACCCCACCTGTTGACTGAAGAGCAGAAAGCAGCCAGGGATAATTGGTGTCAAAAAACGCTTGACCGTTTCAATTTCGGAAACTCAAAAAATGTGTACAGCATTGTTAGTGGTGATGAATCGTGGATTTAGTGTTATGAACCAGAAAATAAACGACAGTCGGCTGTTCGGGTGTTCCAAGGTGAAGAAATGCCAACAAAAGTCATCTGTTCTCGAAGTGTTTCGAAAAAGATGGTCGCGACATTTGTCTCAACAATTCCTCTTAATGAGCAAAGAACTGTTACTGCGGATTCGTATACCACCATTTGTTTGCTAAAAGTCATCACAGAGCTTCGAAAAATCAACCCCGAAAAAAGAATCATCCTCCACCAAGACAATGCAAGCTCGCACACAGCCCAAAAAACAAGGCAGTATTTAACGGAAGAAAACATGAAATTATTGATCCATCCTCCATATAGTCCCGATTTAAGTCCTAACGATTTCTTTACTTTCACGAAATTTAAAATCAGACTGCGTGGTCAAAGGTTCCAGTCACCAGAAGAAGCAGTTGACGGTTGACGCATTCAAAAA